CCGTGAGTCGCGGGGCCGGGCTTGGGGGTAGGGGGACAGTCGGGAGCGGGCCGAGTACCCCGCACCCCCGCGAGGGCGACCAAGGCTGCGATTGGCGTGGTCTGCGTGGCCACTGGCGTCCTGGCTTCCTTCCTCCGTTCCTGGAGGAACGGGCATCAGGCCGTGGGGACACTGGCTGCGCATCTGGGACTCCTGAGAGCAGGGAGCTTGGGCAGAGGAGACACTAGCTAGAAATAAGATGGTAATGCGGTCCTTCACTGACTACTTTGTGCGCCAGTCCGAGCCACGACAGGCACGTTATTTGATCTTCACAGCGGCCCTATGGATTGGACCTATTGTTTTTCCCATTTTGCAGAAGAGAAAGCTGAGGCACAGAGTAGTTTAACAAGTTGCCCGAGGTCACTCATCCTTAAAGTAGTAGAAATGCTGAAGGCCGCAGCTTCTCCAGAATATCGGGGCTGGATGCAGAGTGAGGACCACATCACATGGGGAAAGTGAGACCCAGAGAAGGAGGTGGGGTGTGCTACAGAAGGGATGAGGGCACCTCAGAGCCTCCCTTCGGGGTGTGCCCAGTGCCAGGGCCTCTAGGCGGGGCAGCAGCATCCCTGTGGGCATCAGCTGGCCTGGGGGCCTTTGGCTGCACTGCCTGGTGAGGAGAAGGATTGTGCCAGTGAATGGGGGTAGGGTTGGGGGCTCTGTCACATGCTACAAACAGTACAGGGTTCTGCCTGGGGCAGGCCCTTAAGGAATGTGCAGCGATGGAGCTTTTGGTTGTGTGGGATGGAATTCTGGGTAGAGGACTCAGCCTGGACAAAGGCTCAGAGGCCAGAGTGCACTGTGTGTTTGATGTGGCCAGAAAGAGGATGCATGGGTTGAGGTGGATAGAAGAGGTGAGGTTGGACTGGGTTTCACTGGCGCTCTGCAGGGTCTGCTTGCTCTCAATGGACTCTTGGCTGTTTGCCAGCTCAGATCAGGTCGCCTCCTCCCAGGCTTCAGCTACGAGAAAGGGAGTCAGAGCTGGAAGGGGTCTCAGCAGATCACCCTCCCCCAACTTTACACCCAGAGGAACTGAAGCCCCCAAGGGGGATGTTTCCTGCTGTTAGAAAGTGGCAGAGTGGATACTAAACCCCAGCTTCTCGAAGCTCACACCTGAAGGGCCAGATCTTTTGCCCAATCTGGATTGAAAGAGCCTTCGGGGGTGAGGGAGGGTAGGCCTATCAATGGGCACCACTTGGAAGGCAGTGTTTTCCCCTCTCCCCTAAAGTATTGACGTAAAGCTTATTCCCCTCCCCCCACACCTCTTTCCTGCTATTAATTTGGGCTTGTGGTTTGCTTTCCCAGGGGACTAATGAGTCTTAACTGGGGCAACATCTTATAGTACAAAGGCCCTGAAGAGATTTAATGATTTGTGTGTCACTCATTCATTCACAAATATGTGCCACGGCCTGAATTTGGGGATACAGTAGCTCACAAATTAGACAGAAATTTCTCCTTTCATGGGTTTATATTATAATGGGGGAAGCAGACAGTAAACCTAATAAATGTATAAATATAGCACAGCCAATGGTGAGAGGTGCTGTGGAGAGAAGCAATGCAGGCAGGTGTGTAGGGAGGGTATTTCCTTGGTTGGAGCTTGACCGGCTCAGAGGGCCCTGAATAAAGGGGGCCCCACCACCTCTAGATCGTTGGCCACTAGAATTTATTCTCTGACCTTTTGCTTTGGGGGAATAATAGTGATGGTGATGGTGATATTTGCCAGTGCCAGGGGCTTTTTACATCTTATATTTAATCATTATAATTACCCTGCAGGGCAGTTCACACCCCCATTTTGCAGGTGAGGAAACTGAGGCACAATAAAATTAAGTAACCTAGCTCACAAAGCCAGAAAGTAGCTCAGCCAGGGGCCAGTGGCTCTGAGGTCCATAGGTTGCATCTGTGAGGCCCAGAAAGCCCCAAATCCTCTCCTGTATCTGGAAAGCTACATGAAATTTATCTGGAAAAACAAAGTGATGCCAGGCCTGTCTGTCACCTAAACACATCCTAGCCTTCCTTGCCAAGACACCAGCCACCTGTCCCTGGATACACAGAGGGGCTGGGTCTGGACATTCGCACTGGACCAAACTTGCAGGATGGGGGTTTGTCAGCAATAAAATCTCAAATTACATACTCTGTACTGATTATGAAAAAAACCAGCAGATAGATAGCTGTCCCTTGTGCTCATGTGTCTAAGCCTTTCTGGAAGAGGGACAGGCATCTGTTAATCTGGGGATTTTCAGTGTCACTCATGGAAGCAGAGTTTTGTGAATTCCCCTCTGTGCTTAGCTTTGTGCCTGCTGGGAGTTGTGGTGGATCAGTAAGGGTCAGGTGTGGCCAGGGCCCGCAAGGAGCTTGTGGCCCAGCCAAAGAGACTAGCTGTCTTCACAGGCCAAGAGCAGTCAGGTTGACGGCAGCATGGGGGTCCATTGAGATAAGCCCTGGACCACGTCACCATGCCTGAGTCCTCCTGGCCTGGTCTCCAACCCTCTGAGCCATCCGTTGCCTATGAGAGGGGGCTGGCAGCGGGGCTCGGAGGTTCCCTCTAGTCTGATACTGTCTGAAATGAAGGTGCAGCAATGAAGATGAAAAGCGTGCAGAGACCACAGAGAAGTCACATCGGAGTGCGCCCCAGAGCCGGGAGGCGAAAGATGGTTAGGATTTGGGGATGAGGAGAGAAGAGGTGGAGGGGCAAGGACAGGGAAGCCAGGTGAACATGCCCAATGCAATGAGTGGCTCAGTAAATCCTGGCTGCCTCCTTCCCTGGACAGAGCCATGGAGAAGACAGTTATCAGCTTCAGTGGGAATGAATGCCATTCCCTTCCTTCCTCGGGAGCAGCAGTTGGAGTCATGGAAACTGGATGACGGGGCACCTCTCGGGGGAGGGGTGCACACCTGGCGCCTGCGGATGGTCTTGCTGATGCTCTCCCAGTTTTAGGGTTCTGCCAGGTCCCGGTCGTGTGGACGCTCACGTTGAGAGGGCGGGGAGGCACCCCCCCACCCTTTCTGAGCTGGGAGTCCCTCTGCCTGGGAGAGGCTGTTCCCTGCTCCTCCTTGTGCAGTGTGAGGGGCCGTCCCCCCTCATCCTGCCCCCCTTTTTGTCCCCCCAGTGCTTCCCCTGGAGAGGCAGCTGCACGAGGCTGCCCGCCGGAACCATGTCGGAAGGATGAAGGAGCTGATCGGGAGGAGGGTCAACGTCAGGGCCAGAAACCACGTGTGTACAGGGGCACCGGCTGGGGACAGTGCCATGGTGTTACCACCACTTGGGAGGGACAATTTACAGAGCCCAAGGCAGGCACACTGGCACCTGTTAACCCTGGGGAGGCTCAGGCTCTGTCCTTCTTGCCTGCGTTGTCTAAAGGTCTCTGAGGCCCAAAGTCACGGTCAGGATTCCAACCAGGCTTGGGCACTTCTAGAACTTGCAACTCTTAATCCCTGTGATCCATCCAGAAGGCTCCCCCAAGAAACAATTGTTAGGGTCAGGAGGGCAGGGGGTCAGAGTTCAGGAGTCAGACAGAGGCTGGCAGAGAGGCAGATAGGGGCAGGCAGCTGGAGAGACAAAGATGGAGTGGTGCCTGCGGTCAGAAGTCCAGGGGTTCGGGACCAAGAGAGGCTGAGCACGTGTGAAGCAGCAATTGAGTTCAGTTCTCTGAGGGCCCGCTGTGCCTGGTGACTGTGTAAAGCTGCTGTTGGCCCAGGCCTGACCTGAGGGCTCAAAGCCCAGGCAGGGAGGCAGACCAGGCCCCGCAAACCAAGCCTCAGGTCTGCTCGTGGGGTGGTGCATAGCCTTTTGGAGAAGGCAACAAAGGGAAAAGCCACTCTGCCCGGGATAGCCCCTCCCTATCTTGGCGCTTCTAGCTGTCAGGAGCGTCTTAGAGGAGATGCCAGGGCCTGGGTGAGAGGCCAGTGGGGGCTGAAAGTGCTGAATGCGAGATTCCTGACTGCAGCAGAGGCTGCTCTGTCTGGTTTGGTGTGACAAGGGTATGTGACCTGGGTCTTCAGAGCCTGCTGGGGGCTCAGTAATAGTGGCAGGAATTCTGGGGTATGTCTGGTGTGTTTTAGTTTTCAGAGCACTCATCCACCTGTTTCCCACTGGTCCCCACTCACCCCTGGAGAGGTGAGCAGGGCAGAGAAGATTAGTCCTGTTTATAGAAGGGTGCAGGCACAGAGAGGGCAGCTGTGTTCCCCTAGGTCACACAGCACATTATTGGTGATTGGAGCCTTAGTCTCAACTCCTGGGCAGGCACTGGCAAGGAAGCATGGACTTGGAGGATGATGGGATGCTAATGCCAGATTCATTCATTTATTTACTCATTGAATGATTCATTCATTCATTCAGTATTTATTAAGGGCTTCCTCCAGTCTGCACTGTACTCCGTGCTGATGACAGTAGAACTCACGGCAGACGTGGACCCTGCCCCCTTGGAGCTGGTGGTCTCGTGCAGGAGGACAAACATTAAACAGAGTGTCTCACAAACAATTCATTCTCACTGTCACAATTTGAGAGCATGTGGGGATCGGAGGGCCCTGCCCTGCCAGAAGGCTTCCCGAGGAAGTGACATTTTCGCAGGCGCCAGTGAAGAAGGGCAGTGGCCCAGGCAGAGGGACAGCAGCAGCAGAAGGAGGGGACCGCTGGTCCCTAGAGGAACCACACAGAAAAATCCGTGTTTTCTTTTGTTGTCTCTTCACTTGCTGAAAACTACGAGGGAAATGGGTTCCTGGGGCAGAGGCTGGCTTCCCCTGGGCCTGCTCAGATGCGCTGAGGGCCAGAGACCAGGGTGAACTGCCAGGCTGGCTTGACAATGAGGTGGGAAGTCAGAACCCTCCAGCCCGGTTCTGAAGAAAAGAGGGGACAGAACCCAGGTACTCAGGGTTCCTCGGGGACTTGGAGAATAGTCCTCAGATGCAAGCGGCTGCCCAGCAGAGGGAGCAGCAGGAACAAAGACGTAGAGGTGGAAAGTTGTTTGGCATTTCTGAGAAGCAGTGGCCGGCAGTGCTGGGCCCCATGGGGCCTCGTACCCAGGGTTAGGAGTTTGACCCAAGAGCAGCGGGAAGCTGTGAAGAGTTTTAGGTGGGGGACAGGTGGATCCAGACATGGCATTTTACTGTGTTCATTTCAGCTGCTGCGGCGTAGAAGAGGAGGGGGCCAGAGTGGGGCTGGGGCTCCAGCCAGCTGGTCATCGGAGCCAGCAAAGGCCCTTCACCCTGCAGACCAGCTGTCCTGGCCGGGAGGTAGGGAGGGTTGGGAGGTGATCCAGGCAGCAAGCTGGTGCCACACGGCTTCCTCTCCCTCCTGCCAGGTGGGCCGAGTGGCCCTGCACTGGGCTGCGGGCGCAGGGCACGAGCAGGCAGTGCGGCTGCTCCTGGAACACAAGGCTGCTGTGGACGACGAGGATGTGGTAGGACCCCCCACCCCCAAGGAGGCGTGTCTGTCTGCCTGTCTGTCTCAGGGTCGGGCAGGGGCATCGGAGCTCGTCTGGGTCTGCGAGCCAGCTGTCACCGCCCAGGTTGCCACTGATGCACAGACGCACAGATGCTGGCTGCACAGGGAGTCAGAGTTTTTGGAGACTAGTGACACTGTGCTGATCCCATTTTCCCCTTGCACAGCCATGAAGCTCTCTTCATTTTCAAGGGCCTTTCAGTTCTCAGAGAACCTTTTTAGTCCCTCGTGATGCTGTGTGAACAGGGAGAGATCCAGGCTGTAGAACAGGTATCTGGGTGGCTGGGGAAAGTCATCGGGACGGAGGTCTCTTATGATATGCCACAGGGCTCTGTCCTGGCAAGGCAGACACACCTCACACTCTCCTCACTTCCTGCCTCGTGTCCTCTCCCCCAGTTTGGTATGAACGCGCTTCTCCTGTCTGCCTGGTTTGGCCACTTACGGATCCTCCAGATCCTGGTCAACTCCGGGGCCAAGATCCACTGTGAGAACAAGGTAGGGCCTTGAATGGCAGCCCTCCTGCTCCCCCTGCCCCTGGCTGCACAGGTCTGCCCCCACCTCTGCTGCCTGTCCCCATCGCTGTCCCCTCTGTCTTCCCACGTGCCTCTGCCTGCCCCAGCTTGCCCCGGCCTTCCTGAAGCCGCAGCTGAGCTCAGGCCGGTGAAGCTGGGACCCCCACTGCTTCTCCTGGGGCTGGGAGAAGGGCCTGGAGATGCCTCTTCCATCAACACTGAAAGCCCCTTTCTCCCCACCGACCCCACCACCCCATCTCCCCCCTCCCCTCCCGGGGCCTTTTACCACTCTGTGATGTTGGGACCATCCCGGCCCCTCTGGCCAGCCTCCTGTTCACAAAGAGGATTCAAAGTAACAGCCTCAGAAGATTAAATGAGAGGGAGGTGGAGCCTTCGCCCTCCTGCACGGCCCTGTCTCCCTCGGGCTCAGTGTGGCAGGCTGGAAGGAGCAAAGCACTGTTTAACAAATTCTGGGACCTTGGGCAAGTTATTTTACTGCTCTGAACCCCCATTTTTCCATTTGGAAATAAGAGCGCTAGTACCCACCTCCGAGCTGAGGCAAAAGCCGTGGGGTGCTGCGTGTCGAGCACCTGGCTCAGCGCCTGGCATGTTAGGGAAGCTGGCAGCCCCCTGTTGCTCACTGGTGTGCGCTGTGGTTGGAGGGAGGAGGGCCCCAGGGAGTCACAGTGCCCAGAATCCCTGCCCTGGTGTCTCACCTTTTAGGGGATCGGCGGCTTTATGAAAATGCAAACACTTCAGGGCCAAATACCTTCGGCCAGGAGTCCTCAACCTTGGTTCTTAGGGAGAGAGAATTCAGGGATCCATGGACTTGGGTGGGAAAAAAAAAAGTACTTTTTTTTTTTTCTCAAACTGGCCTCTGCTTGAATATTTAGCATTTCTTTTAATGATGAGTGTAGGTAATGTAAGCATTACCTGTGACTTTGTCACTAGGACAAAATGTAGCTCTTTTCCTATGACATCACAGTTTCTGCAGTTATCTCAAAATACGATTTATGCTCATGATTACTTTGAAATCATGGCAGTTATTATTAGACCTTTCCCCGCATCCTGTTGTCTAACGGACCAGTCAAGCACACATATTAACTAGATTTAAAATTGGGGTTTTAATGTTTCGATAATTCTATTTCAATATCGTTTTTCTTTTGTGGAAGGCATAATAGTGTTTCTCCCCCACCCAAGGTGTCTATATCCTTTTTTAAAAAAATTTTTTTTTCCTTTCCTTTGGGTTTTTCTTTTTTTGGGGGGGGTAATTAGGTTTATTTATTTATTTATTTCTTAGTGGAGGTACTGGGGAATGAACCCAGGACCTTGTGCATGCTAGGCAGGCACTCTCCCACTGAGCTACACCCTCCCCCGCCAGATGTCCGTATCCTAATCCACAGAACCTGTGAACTCCACAACGTAACACGGCAAAGGTAATTTTTCAGATGTGATTTAGTTAAGGCCCCTGAGATGGGGAGATTATTCTGGATTATCCACACGTGCCCACCTGTCCTTTCAGGGGACAGAGGGAGGCAGGGGAGTCAGAGGAGATGTGATTGAAGGAGGCAGAGGTTGGAGGGATGTGAGTCACAAGCCGAGGGATGCGGGCAGCCTCTAGGAGCTGGAAAGATCAGGAGATGGATTCTCTTAGAACGTCCAGAAGAGAAGCAGCTCTCCCAACCCACTTTAGACTTCTGACTGTAAGATAATAAGTGGGCACTGTTTTAAGCCACTAAATTTATAATAATTTGTTAGCAGCAATATGAAACTAAAATGCCATTGTAGGCCTGCATGTTTGATCAAATTTTTCCCAATTTTTTTTTCTTTTCTGCATTTAAATAAACATTGTTTTGAAAAGGGGTCCATAGGCTTCACCAGACACCAGAAAGGGCCATGGCACAGAAGTCTGCCCCAGGCCGTTGTCTGGATCTTGTTGGCAGCAGTGGGAATGTCTGACGGCTCCCAGTGAAGGAGTCCCTAGGTTATGGGCCACAGGGCCTGAGCTCAGAATGTGGGAGTGAGAGAGAGAGAGGCCCTCAGAAGGGCACCCTGTGAAGACACCCACGTTCAACCAGAGGGTCCTCAACTCTCAGAACTTAGGTGACCAGTTTACTTGCTAATTTACTGCTTTATTACAAAGAATATGAATCATCAACAGCCCGATGAAAATGTGTGCCTGGCTTAGCCTTAGAGCTGCTCAGTGGCCCTGGGGAATCCAGGAGCTGTTGCAAAGAAATTTGCTGTAAACACAGACGGAGCCTCCGTGTTCTAGAATGAAGGAGGCCAGGTTTTAAGTGTGTGCGGAGGGCAGGGCTCTGAGTAATGGACTCTTCTACTTAAGCAGATCCACTTGGTATTAATTTTCTGTTTTTGGTAGCAAACCACCTAAAACGTAGTTGCTTAAAGTAACAATGATTTATTATTTTTCATACTAATGTCATTGGCTGGTCAGTGGCTCTGGTCTTGCCAGGGCCCACTTCTGAGAACAGTCAGCACATGCCTGGGGCCTCTGCAGGCAGGGGGACTGTCGGGGATGGTGTGGCCAGGTGGTGGCTGATGTTGGTCCTGGACACTTCCTCACGTGACTGCCCCAGGACATCACAAGAGCAAGAGCGGAAGTGGCAGGATTTCCTGAGATGTTACTTCCACCACATTCTACTTGCCAAAGCCCAGCACAGGGTCAGCCTTGTTTCAGGGGGAGGAAAATACTGGATTCCTCCTCCTGATGAGAAAATTAGCACAGTCCAGTTGCTCGATCTTGTGACAGTTTCTCAATCTGTCCTGGTTTTCATGACCTTGCCGCTTTTGAAGAGCACTGGTCAAGTAGTTTGTAGAATGTCCTTCAATTTGGGTTTGTCTATTTTCTCATGAGTAGTTTGGGGCCATATAATGTGGGGAAGACCAGCAAGGTCAAGTACCCTTCTTATCGCCCCCTATCGGGGGCATATGACACCAATGTGACTTGTCACTGGTGATGTCATCTTGATCCATTTCTGACACCAATCCCAATGTGTGTTTTTTCTAAATCACCAAGCAGTTAGCTCAGTTCTCCGTGGACGCTGACCGGTGTCCACACATTTAACTCAGTTCTGACACTGCCTGGAGACAGCGCCAGATTCCGCAGGGTCAGGGTTCAGTCCTACAAGACTGTCCCCATTTCAGATGCCCGTCAGAAGGCCAGGTGGTTGCCTGGCTATACTGCTGGCTATGAGTCAGAAGTTCCCCCGACCCTCCTCCCAGGTTTGATTAATTGGCTAGAGCAACTCTCAGAACTTAGGTAACCAGTTTACTTACTAAATTACTGGTTTATTATAAAGGATATTAAAGGATATGGCTCATCAACAGCCAGATGAAGAGATGCATAGGGCAAGGTCTGGAACGGGGGCTTCTGTCCCTGTGGAGCTTGGATGTGTTCTGGTTCACCAACCTGAAAGTTCTCCGAACCCCATCCTTTGGGGTTTTTATGGAGGCTTCATTATGTAGACTCAATAGATTAAATTTTTGACCATTGGTAATTGATTCAACTTCCAGCCCCTCTCTTCTCCCCAGAGATGGGGAGGTGGGACTGAAAGTTCTGACCTAACCACAGTTGCTTCCCTGGCAACCAGTACCTAGGGGCATCTCAAGTCACCTCATTAACATAATAATCACTTACCATTTAGGAGATTCCTAAGGTTTTAGGAGATCTGTGCCAGGAACCAGGAAGAAGACCAAATATATATTTCTTATTATGAATCACAATTCCATGCTTGACCACTTGGTTAAAGTGGTGTTGGCCAGGTTTCTCCACTGCAATGTTAGCATTTTTGCCTTTCCTGCCTCTATTGTTAGAAACTCTTTGTGTTTTTAATTTGCATTTCAGTCATACTAATGATTTCAGATATCTTTTCATGTGCTTATTTGTAACATATATATCTTCTTTGGCATTCAAATTATGTTTTAATTGTATTAATTTCTTGCTAATGAGTTTTTAGAATTCTTTATAAATTTTGGGTGTATTTCAAAATAAATTGCAGACATCAGTGTACACTTCACGCTAAATACCTCAGCATGCATGTTATTTACTAGAGTTCACATTCTTTACATACAATGAAATACACAAATCTTAAATTTATACTCACTGTGATTTGACAAATGCTGCTCCCATGTAACCCAAACCACTGTCAAGGTGTAGAACACTGTTCTATTGATTTTTATGACCCATTGATGGTTGCGATCTATTTGAAAAAATGTGCCCCAAATAATCTAGCTGTAATGCGAGGTCAAGGTTGAAGCTCTGGGTTATAAACATGGGATCTGCAAACCTCCTGCACTTACTGCTTCAGGGGCTAAGAGACCTTCAGTAAAGCTAAGCACAGTAACACGAGGTATGTCTGCATTATTCTAATTTGACCTGTGACAAAATGGGGGCTCAGAGAGGTGCAGGTAACTTGCCTAAGACCACACAGCTGATAAATGCTGGAGCTGGGATTTGAACTGTGGCATCCTGACCCCCACCAGCCCCCATGAGGCCAAGTGGGTGCCTCGGTTGTCCCAGGGGCCCATCCCATTTTCAGTGTTGTTTCCATCGGAAAGCTGTGTTCTGGTCCCAAACACTCACCATCTGGGAGGCAGCCAGTGTGTGAGCGGGGCCTCCCTTCGCAGACTGCAGGGACCGCCCTGGGCTTGTTTCCAGGACGGTCTGACCTTACTGCACTGTGCAGCCCGAAAAGGCCACGTGCACGTGCTGGCATTCATGATGGAGGACCTGGAGGACGTGGCCCTGGACCAGGCTGACAAGGTGAGTGCGGCCACGGGCTGTGAGTCCTTCCCCTGGGGCCGGGGATTCCTGATTCCCTGCTGCATGTTCCTTGAGTGCATCCTTTGAGCCACGGGTACTGCGTACGGGACCCCGCCTCAGGGAGCTGCTGAGCTAGAAGGGGCATGAAAGCACAAGTGAGCAGGACACCAGTAGGACACATGGTCACTTCCCTCAGAGAGACTCTGATCGGGACTAAACAAGCTAGAGAAGGAGCCGCTACTTTCTGCTTCCTGGGGGAGGTGGCATCTGGTGGATGAACTAGATTTTGTCGCTATAATTAGAAAACAGGGGGCATTCCAAATGGAGGAGAGAGAGGTTATTGCTAGAGCTTTGGAGGTGGAAAAGGGCCCTTTGTGTGTGAGTTCAGTTGGATTGAAATCTTGGAAGTGAAGGCCCGAGAGGTTGTTGGGGGTCCGGGTGGAGATCTCAAGCCCCAGCCTCAGGAATGGGTCCTTTATTCTGCAGGCAGCAAGGAGCCACGGAGAGTTCCAGGGAGGGAGGGGGCCCTCCCAAGAGGGGTCTTGTTGGGAAGTTGGGTCTGGGCTTTCCAGGCAGGATGTGTTGGGCAAGGGGACGGGAGAGTGTCTGGGGCACTGCAAGCCCAGGGTGGCTGGGGAAACTGAGGCCAGGTGGACGGGATGAGAAAGGTTCACTCCCTTCTCCTCCCCCGCCAGCTGGGAAGGACCGCGTTTCACCAGGCTGCGGAGCACGGGCAGCTGGATGCTCTGGACTTCCTTGTGGGCTCTGGCTGTGACCACAGTGTCAAAGACAAGGTACTGTGACTGTGGGTCCCAGGGGAGGGCAAGACTCTGGGCTCCTGACTGGGGTCGTCATTTGCAGCTCACCTGTACCTACTTCCAATTCTCATGTGCCCGAGAGATGGGTGCCCCAAAGACCAGCGTGTGTTCGATGATCATGGGGCAGGCATTTTTCAAGCATGCACTATGGGCCAGCCCTGTGCTATGGGTGAGGAGCACAAAGATGCCCAAGACACAGTTTCTTACTCAAGGAATTCAATGCCACAGTCCTAGTAAAGAGTGTGGGGAGCCAGGATGGCAAATCTGATTAGGAGTCTGGAGTGAGTTTGAGTGGGACTGGGATTCCATTGCAGATGTCTGTTGTTGGGGGGAATGGGGAAGAGTTAGGGGGATGGTAGCCACACACCCGCTGGGTATCTGCTTGCTTTGTGTTTAGTCATCTACTGTGATTATGGCAAAGGTAGGACGAGAGTGCTGGGGGGGTGATGGGCAGTGCATTCAGGGTGGAGAGCTTCCAAGCAGGAATCCAGCACGCTGAGAAGCGGTGAGGGATGGGGACCGGAGGGGACGGCCCTACAGATGACTTGTATCAATGGACCATTGAGAATCATTAAGCAAATATGTTGCAGCAATTTCTAAACAACGCTTCCAACAAAGGGACGGACTCCATTGTTAATCTTCTGATTAATGTGCTCAACCAGAATAGGAGTCCTGTTATAAGCTAGTGACAGAGCTCACAGACAGACCACAAGGCCCTAGAACTGGAAGGTGTCTTCATCAAGGGCCAGTTCACCCTTCTCATCTTACAGATGTGGAAGCTGAGGCCCAGAGAGGGGGATTCTTTAGCCAGGGTCACACAGCAAACCAAAGGTCAGGCTGGGTTTATAATCAGCATCCTGATGCCTAGCCCCATGCTCCTCCCTCTCACCTGGCTGCCTCCTGGGGCACTGAGCCCTTGGTGTCTCCACCAGATCTGTGTCCACATCCTTATGGGATGAAAATGTTCTGAGATTCAGATCAGGCTGATTTCCTTCATTTTAGAAACGTGGGCTTGGCAGGTCGTGCTCCGTGCCATGCCCTGGGCCAGAACTGGATAAACAGAGATGGGTAAAGGATGGCCCTCGCAAGGGCATATCTACCATGAGGCAAAATAAATAAACAAACAAACAAACAAACAAATAAATAAAATAAAAGAAAGAAAGAAAGAAAGAAAAAAAATGTATTCAGGGCTCCAGGAGAACAGGAGCATCAAAACCAGAAAGCAAGAAAAGTCTAGCTTTGGTGACCTTACCCAGAATCTTGCAATCACAAATTCTAGGAAGAAGCTTTTAAAATTGCATGCCCCTGTTAAGCTTTGTGTTTTTAGCTGAGAAGTGTTTTCATTTTGGACTTCACCTGGGGAGCGAGCACAATCAGTTTTTCAAGGCTTTGGGCCACTGAAGATCTGACTTCTGTGAGGAATGCCCAGCCTGCATGGGGGGACAGAGGTGGAGAGGCTGGACATCCCTACGGGTGGAGGGGAGAGGGCACCAGGCCCAAAGCGAATGCCGCTTCCACCCAGCTCCCTGCGCTGTCCAGGCAGAGTGCCCTGGTGGGGGGTCCATGCCACCTGCAGCTTCAAAGGGCAGGAAGTGGATATTTATAATCCAGAAGGAAGAGGAAAACCCTACCCTGTCTCAGCTAACTGAGGGGCACATGTCGGCCCCCCACAGTTCACCTGCTTCCTTCCTGTCTCTTTGAACACAAGAGGCTTCACGCTGTGGCTGCATCTCCCCGGCGTGATTCTCCGATTTCCGCTTGCAGCAGTGAGTTAACCACAGAGCCGGTGGGACAGGAGCAGAACACAACTGTTAAGGGGATTTCTTAAACTTAATTTTATTTATTAATATAATATGACGATGATCATAAAGTAAATTTAAATGTTTCATCCTTGATCCTCGGTGGTAACAGCTGATTATGTGTGTGTGGCTCTTTCATGGGAGGTGGGGTATGTTTTTAACTGCTGTAAGTACTGCTTTGGCTTTGGTACGTGTTCACATGCTCAGTGGGCCCGTTAAATATTTGTGCCTAAATTCAGTGTCTTCTTTTCTTCCTGGGGAAGGTACTGACACAGGCTAGGGTGGAGGAAAGCCGGGAGGGCCCCATGATTGGTTCGGCTCACTATGTCCCTGCAGCCTTCTGGGCGCGATGAATGGCCAGAGCTGGGTCTTCCCTTCTGGATGCTCTTGTGGGTTCCTCCTGGGGACTCCCGTCTGTGGGTCCTCTGTAGGGACACACATTTTCTCGGGCACGTCACATCCAGCTGCCTCCCCTTCGCTGAGGCCCCTCGCCTTCTAGTTGTCCTCTGTAGCAAGTCTCTTTAAGGATGACTTCAAACAGGCTGCCCTCCGCGGTGCCGCTTCCAACATGAAGAACATGGTGTCCTTCACCTGCCCAGTGGAGCCACCTCTCTTGGCTCTGTCACTGTCACCTTTAGACTTCTCAAGGAGGGGGGAGGCTATTCCCAGTCCAGACACATGTCAAGCTCTCCATCTCTTTTCTGACTCATTGAACCTCTTGTTGAGTGTCAGCCATGTGCCCTAGGTCCTATTTTAGGCACGTGGGGAGTCTTTAGAGAACGAATAGAAATCCTTGCCCTTGTGGTGCTGTGTTCAAGCAAAGAGAGTCAGACAATGGACAGTGAATACAGTACACAAGTAGGCTGCGGAGTGTGTCAGGGGGTCAGTGCTTTGGGAAAACAGGAGAAGCAGACTAGGATGAGGAGGACAGGCGCTGGGAGCTGCCGTTTTAAACAGTGCCGTCAGGGTGGGGCGCACCCACTGAATGAGAAGCCAACGTCTTGAGCAAAGATGCAGGAGGGGAGCGGCTGGGTCATGCGGCTGCCTGGGCGCAGCCCGAGTGTGAGGACAGTCGCTGGGGCCTTGGCCTGAGCAGAGGGAGGGGATGGATCTGGAGTCCCCGAGTTGGGACCAGCTTAGACAGGAGCATAGGAAATAGGGATTAAAAAAAAAATAGTAATGTGTCTGTCTCAAAGTGTAAGAAAAGAGAGACTAGAAGTTGGCCCTTGAAAGTGCCCCTGATTTTCAGATTTTGGGTACAGTTCTCAGAGCAGGGTGGCGTTGGCCCAGTACACAGGGCTGTAGCTCATCACAGGCTTTGCTCTGTGACCCTTTGTGTCTCCCCTCTCTGGACCTCGGTGGGTTCCCAGGGCCTCTGAGGGTCTATGATTCTACTGGCCCCTCAGGAGCCCTTCTCCCTGCAGGAAGGGAACACAGCCCTTCACCTGGCCGCCCGCCAGGGCCACCTGGCTGTGCTTCAGCGACTCGTGGACATCAGGCTGGACCTGGAGGAGCAGAATGTGGTGAGTCACTGCCTGAGGTCGCAGAGATGTGTGACACTGGCTTGCTCCTTGCCTTTGAGGAGCCCACAGCCCACGCGTGGTACAGTCTGACCTTCCCTGGTGGGGCCCCTGAAGCCAGGAGTGAGGACATGTTCTGAGACTAACAGCCCAGCAGGACAGATGAGCAGCAGCACAAAACTCCAGGCTCAGTGGGGCACTGGGCATGAGGGATTTCGGAAAAGTTGTGCACGTGGTGTGTGTTAAAGGAGGGGGAGGTCTCTGTGGCCAGGCTGGCAGGGAGGGCTTCCTGGAGTAGGAGGGAATAGAGCAGGGGTGAGGCGGCTGAGAGGGGGAGGAGGACACGAGCAGAGCTGTGGGCGGAGGGAGTGAATGCACCATTTGCCCTCCAAGTGAGAATCGGGTGCAGGGCTCAGGGAATCACAGATAACCAGGTGTTGTCCTCAGTAGCAGGGCAGCAGGGAGCTGCAGCCATGGCGCAAGGAATCCTCACACCTCTCTCCTGTGTTTCAGGAAGGTCTGACCGCCCTGCACGCAGCTGCTGAACGGATCCACCCCGACTGTGTGCAGCTCCTCCTCAGGGCTGGGAGCAGCGTGAACGCCCTCACCCAGGTAGCCAGGCCTCCCCACGACTCATGTCTGCCCTCGGCTGCCGAGCTGAGACTGTGTGATTCCTGAACATTGTGTGCACAGAACAGAGGCTCTGAGGCAGCAGCCCAGCTTCTGGACTAGGCTTCTCTACTGATGAGCTCTGTGACCTCGGGCAAGTTACTCAACCTCTCTGAGCCTCATTTCCCACCTGTACGCTGGGGATACTATATACCTACTTTTTTACACTGCTGTGTGGATTAAATGCCTAGCATGGAGACCAGGACGTGACAGGAGCTCAGGACCCACTAGTGCCTTATTGTTGGGCACCTGACAGTTCACACAGCCCTTTTATAACTGTTACCTCAGAAAAATTCCCCCCATTTTACAGATGGGAGAGGTTCAGTGACTTTCCCAGGTCACAAGCTGATAAGACGCAAAGCTGAGTCTAGGAAGCCTATTCCTCTGACTCCAGAGCTCAGGGCCTGAAATGCTTGCCTTGCCCAGTGAGAGGGTCCCCAGCAGGAGCCCGGCTCTCAGAGCTGGGGCCTGAGTGGGACTCTGGGACAGGCCTCTTCTCCCTCACCGCTGCATTTTGTAAGTCGGCCGTTAGAAATTCTCTGTGTCCTTGGAAAACAGGGGTTGTGGCCTTTCTTTAGGTGGGGAGTTGGTGTTTTGTTTTGTTTTTCATTTTTAGATCAGTGACAAATAATCTTTCTTAGCTGGTTGAGTGGCTTCAGGGTCTAGAATTCTCTGTTATAAATTTCAATAATGTAGCAAAAATATTACCAATGAATAATATAAATAATAACAAAATAGTTTAAAAACAGGGGTTAAAATGGTATGCTAAAAATACTTGCTTAACACAAAAGAAGGCAGTCAAGGGGAAATAGAACAAAAAAGACAGGAAATAAATAGCAAAATGGCAAATGGAAATTTAATAATAATATCAATCTTAAATTCCCCTAAATGTGAATAATGCTTTATAAGTCACAAAATGTTTAATTTGGAGAACTCTTGAAGGTGTGGGAACTACTACCCAGGGGCGCTGCGGGGGATCCCCACCACCCAGAGAGGGAAGGTGGCTGTCCCAGGGCATCCAGCCATGTCTCTCCATCAGCAGGGTGCTGCTCCTTGGTCAGCAAGGCCCCTTCTCTGTGCCCAGCACTAGGCCCTGGGAGAGGGCAAAGACGTGACATGCCGTGGCCCCCTCCCCTATGTTAACAGCACCAGACTTTAGCGACTGGGGGTTTGAGTCCAGCTGACGGTCACTGGTGGGTTGGAGCTGCGCCCTCCACTGGGCCTTGTGCTCCAGCCTTGATCTGCGGTTTCTGGCAGAGACCACACTCCATTCCCATGCTCCCACCCCTCGCCCTCGCAGGGTCATGTGGCATGGTCTCTGAGGAGGAGGCAAACCCAGAGCGATTGCATTTCCCACGGAGAGGTGGGTGAGTTTCCACCCACCCTGTGTGCCGGCTCAGATGCGACTTTGGGAAGGCAACCAGCCTGTCCTGGTCTGCCCCGTACTGTCCTGGTTTTAAAACAGAAGGTCTTGCATCCCAGGGAACCTTCAGTCCCAGGCGATCTAGGACAGTTGGTCGCCCAGTGGGTCCTGCCTGAGATGAACACCTATCCAGGATAAAGCCCTCGGTCTGGCCCTGCCAGGCTCCTGTGCGGAAGCTCCAAGACCAGCTCCAGCTGGGCAGTGTATGTGGGGTGGGGTGGGGTGGGCGGGAATCTTATCAGTCCCCTCTCTTAGAAAACCATCTTCTCAGAGTCTATACTCTGCCCGCCTGTACTGGCTAAGGAATTGTGAGGCTTTGGCCTGTGATGGGAGGCGAGGAAAAGCCTGAGACCATAGTGAATGCCTTTAACTCGCCACCAGGTGTGTCTGGGCAAGCCCTTGATCTCTCCCGCCTCAGGGTTTCATGGGGATAATAGCCCCAGGTGGGTTGTAAGCTGCAAATGGAATAATGAATCCCATAATGCATTGTAAACCCCGCTGCTGGGGGTCCTCGGGAGGCTGCATTGCTGCCTGTTTCCCTCTAGAAAAAGCAGAGCTGCCTCCACTACGCAGCCCTCGGTGGCTCTGAGGTCATGGCCCGGGCCCTCATCCACGCAGGAGGCTGCACCAACGTGGCTGATTGTGTAAGTGCAGGGCTGGGGTGGGAGGGGGGTTTCCACTGCAGAATCTCCCAACCTCACTGCTCCAAATAGAAATGGAGAACAGATTAGTGGTTGCTGGGGGCTAGGGATGGGGGGTGGTGCAGAGGAGGGAGGAGGATGTGGGTATAAAAGGGCAACACAAGGGATCTTCGTGGTGATGGAACTGTGCTGTATCTTGAGTGTGTAGTGGATACACGAACCTACATAAAATTACATAGAACACACACGTGTACAAATGACTTACCAGTGAAACTGGGGAGATCTGAGTAAGATGGTGAGCATTATTGACGTCAAGATTCTGGTTCGGATCTTTGTAAGATGTTACCATTGGGGTTGGGGAGTGGGGAGAACTGAGCAGCTGGGTGATTGGGGTGGGAAGAAGGCTTTTCACCAGACACCTTTTGTTTATTTTGGGTTCTTTTGGTTTTTATACATAAAATGTAAAACAATGAAAAGCAGTATTACTCTCTCGCCACACCACACTCCCCCAGACCTGTTTCCAGGACAGCGGGGGCCAGATCCAGCAGGCTGGGTTATTTTATCCCTGTGGCCAGCCGCTTCCTGGAGAGCCAGGCTCTGATAAGTTCCCAGGCTCATCTGAGTCAGGCTCTGGAGCCAGTTACCAGCGTTTGCCCGTTCACTCTCACAGCGCACCTTCTTTTGCCCTGATTTTGATTTCACTTATTTAGCAATGATCTGAGGACACTGTTGAAATTCCACCCAGGTAGTTTTACCTGGGTTTTAAATTTTTTTTCTAGCTATGTTTTAGAATACTGTTTGGTACTTGTTGAAATCTGGGCTTGGGATTATATTAAGCTTGTAAATAATGTAAGAGAAAATGGTCATCTTTGCAATGTTTTATTTTTTCACCAGGAACATGTCTTGCCATTTCTTTATGTCTTCTTTTATATCCCTCAGTGATGTTCTATAGTCTTTTCATTTGCGTTTGTAATATCTATTTCCAATTATACTCTTCATATGTACTTTATATTTTTTGACTATTGTGAACAGGATAGCTTTTAAAAATATGTCATTTCTTGAAGGCATTCAATATAGGAATGCTATTGGCTTTGGTTTTTTTTAATAATCAATTTTATTATACTCATTATATTCTAATCTTTTTTTCTTTTTAAATTTTTTGTTTATTTTTTTGTAGGGGGTAGAGGTAATTGGGTTTATTTATTTACTTTTAATGGAGGTACTGGGGATTGAACCCAGGACCTCATGCATGCTAAGCATGCACTCTACCACTGAGCTATACCCTCCCCACAGGAGGGGTGGGTTTTTTTCAAAAAATAGGTAGTAGACATTCTGGTTGGCTCCCAACATCCGACTTTAGTATTTTTATCTTCTATGTGACTTTTCATTAATTTTGCTAGAGTTTTTTTGGGGGGGGAGGGTTACAGTAACTATTTTAATCTGGTTAAATATTTTTTAAAATTATTTTTATTTAATTTTTAAAAAAATTTTTTTATTGAGTTATAGTCATTTTACAATGTTGCATAATCTGGCTAAATATATAATCACTTTGCCTATAAATCATCATATAGTTTAAATCTTCTTTTCCAATATACATAAACTTTTTTTTTCTGGTCTAAACTAGTAATGGCAATAGTGGGCATTTTGGTTGTATGTCTGTGTGTTCTGTTCTACAACCTTTTAATACTCAATATGTGAGGGTGTTTTTCCACACTAAGTATAGATCTATACCATTGGTTTTTCTGGCTTTGTCCTATTACACTGCATGTGTGTCACCATATCACTTAGAGCGATGCTGTGGCAGTCAGTCTCTCCACTTTGTCACGTAGTCTGGAGTCACAGGGGACCACTGGGGATGGAGTTCTCCAGCCTTGAGTGAGGCTCTGGATGGATGTTGGACTTGGAGTGAGGCCTCTTTGCTGGTCCCAGCTGGCTCTCTCTTTCATTCATTTCATATAAAAATAGTTGTCAGGCACCTGCCTAGGTTCTGGGGTAGGAAGTCCAATAACACAAGGTCTCTATTAGTTACATGTCCTTAGGTAAGTTGGGTAATTACATTTATTTATTTATGTTTAGAGGAGGTACTAGGGATTGAACCCAGGACCTCATGCTTGCTAAGTATGTGCTCTACCACTTGAGCTATATCTTCCCCCAGAGTTGAGTAAGTTTTCTGAACTCACTAAGTGTTCTCATTTGTAAGATGAACGTACTAATAAGAATAATATCATTTCTACATACTTTCTACTTACTATAATACTTAGAGTAAATGGGAGTAGGTGGGATATCAGAGAATCTTAAGGTGTGGTTGCTAGAAGGGACCTCAGCAAACATCACTTGCCAGATGAAGAGTAGCAGAGAAGACAGATGAGTTATCCAAAGTCATGTGGTGAGTTCCTGGCACAGCGAGATCTCCAACTTGGGATTTCCGGCCCCTGTGCACTACAGGGATCAGTTTGGGATCCAGGCTTTGGGCTGTAAATGCCTCTGGCCTCTCACGTCATATGAGAAGCGAGAAGGGTCAGACTCAGAAGCACTGTCTATATCCCTCCCAACTCCCATCTTCCAGCCCCAACCTGCAGCTGGGCAGTCCTGGGAGGGCGCCATCAATTGATCTGTGTGTCTCCCCCGCAGCAGGGCGCCTCTCCTCTGCACCTCGCTGTGAGGCACAACTTCCCAGTCCTGGTGCAGCTCCTCATCGACTCCAGCAGTGACCTGGATGCCACTGACCATGTAAGTGGCTGCAGAAACCGTCGGGGCCCCAGAAAGCCAGGGCTTGGCTGTGGTCTACTAGCCTGGCCCAGAGTTGAGGAATTGCTGTTTTAGTTTGTAAAAACTGTTTGAATATTTGTGGAAGCTAGCATCACTTTCTCAACCGTTTCTCTATTTTGAACGTTTGGGTATTTCTGAGTTTTTGTCATGATATATAGAACACCGCAGTAAGCATCTGCCTACATTCAACCTTTTCCTTTTATTATTATTATTTTTTTCCTTAGGGAAAATTCCCAAGTCAGGGGTGACTGGAACAGTCTTGTGTAACAAGAGGCCTCTGAGTCCTGAAGTTGGGATCAGTCAGGAGCACTTTTAAACCCCTATCCCCACAATCCACTCCCCCAACCGGTGCCGCCACATGCAACCACTGGCGGTGGAAAGCAGTTTGCTGCAATATAACATATAGCTTTAAAGCAGTCAGTATTTGCACATCTGAAAGTTGAGCCTCAAGAAATATACTAAGAGCTCATGCACCGAGATACTCATTGCAGCACTGTTTATCAGTTTCCATTTCAAAAATGGCCCAAATCATAATTGAAACATAGGTAAATGAGGGTCTAGACATAGATCAGTTCTTATGAGCTATTAAAAATGGTGTGTATAGAGTTTATAATATGCAGAAAGTTTTATAGATGCAAAATGTATACACAAGATGATCTCAGATCTGTGAAACCATCAAACAAACCTTTCTGCATTAAAGAAAAGACTAGATGAAAGGCACTAGGATCATTGCAGAGGTTGACTTAGGTGGGCTAGTGAGCGGTGTTTTTTTCTTTGTTCTTTCCACTTTTTTGTTTTTACCAAGTTTTCTCTGCTGAGAATTATTTTATGATTAAACCCAGTTTACCCTCCCTTGTAACTTCTTTGAGAAACTCTGTTCAGGCCCAGTTGGGCGTGTACCCACCTTGGTCCTGTCCTGGTTTTGAGCCGTGGGCCATCTCTACATGCTTTTCTGTTCCCCGTCCCCTTGGCTTCTTCTCCAGAGGCAGCAGACACCCCTCCACCTTGCTGCAGAGCACGCCTGGCAGGACATAGCAGAGATGCTCCTCGTTGCTGGGGTTAACTTAAACCTGAGAGATAAGGTACTTCTGCTCACAACCAGCCTCCCTTTCAAACTTTCACAGCTCTCTCTTTGCCAGAGACCCTGTTCAAACGTCTCCTGCTCCCAGAGTGTTCAAGGCCTCCCATCCATATGTCAACTCAAATGCAGCCTCCTCCAGGAAGCCTTCCTGCCCCTCCACCACCTTCCCCTGTCTCCTCTGAGCACTTGGCCCTTCCCTCTCCTGGTCTTGGCCTGTGATATGGTCATATTCTGCTCATGGTCCCTGTCAGACTTTGAGCTCCTAGAGTCATCTGGTGGGGAGAAGTGAGGGGGGCTCGAGGAACAGCGCATCACCACCCCACAACTCCCTATGTGTCAAATAGGTTTCCCAGGTTATTGTGCCTCTGGGGCGACCAACTCCTCAGGCGGCCGGAGGTTTGAGGAGAGCTGAAGACTTGGTAGGAGGCCGAGGAGTCACAGGCTCATGAAGGGGAGGGCACTTGCACTCGTGGTCCAGCCCTTGGGATTTTGTGGACAAGAGGTGGGGGCAGGGAACTGGCCCTGAGGCTGGACCTGGGAGGGGCTGCCCGCTGTGAGCTGGGCCCCAGGGCAGCCGGCCAAGTGCGGAGAGGAGCTTCCCGTCTCCCTGCAGGTCCCTGGAGGGGGCTGAGGCCAGCACAGTGAGGGAAGCCTGGGAGCCTGAGGGGAGGCGGCACGCGTGACACAGGGGCCCAAGCCCCTTCTGTGGGTTCTGCTTTCATCTGAGAAATGGGGCTGGTAACATCTACCCATAGATGATGTTGAAGAGTTTATTCAGGCTGAGTTTAATAAGCACTAAGTCTTCCTACTCTAAAGCAACACAAGAGGTGGTGGCTGGAATTATTATTATTGCCTTCTTGTGACTTTTCCACATCCCGAGTCATGCCTGGGAAGCCTTTCTGCTCTCCAGTGTAGACTGCCGGAAGCAGCTTTCTTTGGGCAGCAGGGTCTGTACTCAGTCCTGGAGGCCACCCTCCACCCTCTTCTAGAAACTCTGGCTTCCTTTTTCGTCTCTTACCTGCAGCAAGGAAAAACTGCCCTGGCAGTGGCCGCCCGCAGCAACCACATCAGCCTGGTGGACATGCTCATAAAAGCTGATCGCTTCTACAGGTGGGAGAAGGTACTGAGTCCCTGCGCGTGGTCTCTCCGTGTTGGAGAGGGAGTGGCCGTCGCTCCAGGTGGAGCTGGCTTTGAACCCCAGCCCTGACCAGTTCAGGGACCCCTCATTTTCCAAAGGAGTGATAATTCCTGCCTTACCTACCATCAGGGTGGTTTGGGGGCATCCAGAGATAGGTGAGCACTGAAACCACCTTGAAATAAGGCTGACTGAGCTCCATGCCAATGTGGAGATCCTACTAGACACTGCTGTAACTTCTGGTTGATGGCGGAATGCACACAGGTGTGAATAAAGCGATGACAAGTTGGTTCTGACTCACTGTCAACTCCAGGTGATTGGAATTGTGGCTTGGGGTATTCTATTCAGGCAAGTTTCTGAACCCAGAAGGAAGGTGTGCTGGGATTGACTAGTGATGTCTGTGGCAATGTTGGGACAGAGGAGTGGCAGATGTAAGGTTATTCATTTACAGTTCTAATGTCAGCAAATGGGGGTAGGTGCAGTCTTTTGGTGTCTTGAGGGTTGTGTTTCTACACAGGAGATAAATTTTTGCATGTATTTCAGTTTTAGAAATTAATACTAAATTTTTTACAAAATTTAAATCCGAGTTTTCCTCAATCTTTTAAATTCATTTAAAAAACATTATTGTATTTATACAACTAGTAAATTTTAACAGTCACTTTCAAAGAAGCCTTTTTTGTTTGTTTGTTTCATTTTTGGAGGGGAGGTAATAGGTTTATTCATTTTAACAGAGCCACTGGGAATTGAACCCAGGACCTCGTGCATGCTAAGTGCACACTCTACCACTGAGCTACACCCTTCCCTTCAAGGGGAGATCCCGCATTTAAACTTAAACCACCTTAAACATTTTAACTGAATGGATACACTTAATGTAATAAATTTTCTTTTTAAGCACTTCAAATGCGTCCTAAGTTCTTAAATTATCCTAGTAAATTCAATAAATCAAACCCATAAAGTAAATCTCAAATATCGTAAACATTCCCATGTTGTTGACAAACTTACTAACCTTCTCTTACACCTGTTCCAAAGTCAATTGATTGATAATAAATTTCCATAGGAATCATAAGGCATCTTCTTTCACCAGCAAGCTAGAGTCTTGTAAGCATTACAACCCCTTTGCATGCAATAGATTACTCCTAAATATTAATACCAATGGTTTGGTGAACTGATTCATGTCTATACTTAACTTTAAAGCACCCCAGGCTTTAAAAGTTCTCAACACTAAAGCAGTGGTGCAGTTAGAATCACAAATCCCCCCTTCCTACCCCCAGACCAATTTGATCGGAATCTCAGGGGTGAGGGCCAAGCTTCTGCAGTTCTTAAAGCTCCCGGATGATCCCAGTGTAAGATGCAGCTGAGAACGTTGCTCTAAGGAAACGGCTTTTACCACCCCCAGTGAGAGGCAAGTTCCCAGATCATCACCTCCCGGGTCACCAGCCAGCACTGTTCACCCGGATGTAAGTTTTGGCGCTACAGACGCCAGAACTCATCTGAGCTTTTTAACAACCAGAACTCTGCATCCACATCTTTTTGAGGGGCTAACTTAGGCTTTTGTGGGTTTAACTTATGCTATTACATAATTTTTTGATAACCTCTCATTTTATCATCTGCTTTGTGTAGAAAGGATTCTGTAACCCCGCCCTTTTCTACTTGTTGGGATTTAGCAAGTCTAGTTACTGCCTGATTCTTGGCTTGGCTAGTTTTAGCCATAGCTGCTCAGTCATTTTACTGGTACTTGTGCTATAAGAACACAAAGAAAAGAGAGGGATTGGAAAGCCTTCCTAGAAGGGGTGGCATGTCGGTGGTCTTTTGACTTTGGCAATGGGGTTGAGAGACAGGGAGGTGGGAAGAGGAATTCTGGATGGAGACACGGTGTAAGCAGCTCAGGTGCCAACATTCAAAGCAAAGCATGGAGTCAGAAACCAGAGTGATGGACACTAAGCCCCAGGCCTGTGATGATGCCAGTTCTGGGTCCATGCTCACGAGGGAGAGACTGGCAGGGATTTCCCCCAGATGGCTGCTGCACTTCTGGGGTCTGCCCCACAGGACCGCCTCTCGTGCAGGGACCCCAGTGACCCCTGTGGGAAGAGCTTGACCTTTAAGCAGGACCATCGGCAGGAGACGCAGCAACTCCGCTCTGTGCTCTGGCAACTGGCCTCCAGGTACCTGCGCCCCCATGAGTGGAAGAAGCTGGCTTACTGCTGGGAGTTCACTGAGGCCCATGTCCTTGCCATCGAGCAACAGTGGACAGGTACCACCTTGCCTCAGCATTCCAGAGCAACCGGGGTGGAGGCGTGGGGGCACTTGGGGTGTCTGTGCATCTGGGGGAAAACCTATGCACCCACAGCAGAGCCTCACCAAGAGCCTTTCCAACATGCTGAGTGCTCTTCCCCGGCCCAGGCCTTTGCACAGGCGAGGTGCTCTGCCCCTCCCTCCGCACTGACCTGTGAACTTCACATCCTTCATGTAACAGCCGATACTCAGTGTCCACACACTGAGCTAAAGGAGAGGAGCTGCCATTGAAACTATTTAATATCTGTTTGGAAATTTTGGCCCTGGTATTAAGGCATAAAACAGATATAGAAACGAAAAGTGTAAGTATTGGAAAGGAAGAGAGAGACTAACTTCAGATACTATAACTATATACATAGGAAGTCCAGAAGAACCAATGGAAAAACTCTTAGACTGAAATAATTCAATAAATGTATTGAATTTATTAATTCAATAAATGTATGATCACATATACAAACACCATGTTCCTGTGTACCATCGATAAGTGGGCAAAATATATAGAGGTATTTTTTAAAAGATATTCCATTTATAGTAGTATGTGTTTCTAAAAAGATATGTGAATGACATATGAGTATGGTATTAAAAAGTAGTTGAACTATATAAAATAACTTAGGTAGATGGAATGACATTTTGTATTCCCAGCTAGAAAAAGTGCCATGTAGATACTGATTTTCCCCAAATTAGATTAAAGCTTTGACCCAGTTTTAATCAGATCAAAATAGGAGGTTTTAGGGAACTTGACTAAAGGATTCTGTAGTTTATCTGAAAGAATAAACAGAGAATATGTAAGTGAATATTTGGGGGGAAAAAGTGAAGAGGGTCTAACTCAACCAGAATCAACCTTAGAAAGTTAAAATAATTAACAGAGGGCTACCTGACTTAAACAAATGCAAATCAGGTAGAGGAATAGAGCAGTGTCCAAAAGTAAACTATGTTAGAGATGAGGATTTCATAGACGATAAAGGAGCACTGGTAAATGATGGGGCTGGGGACAAGGGTTAGTGAATAAAAGGGTCAAATGAAACTGCTAGGGAGCAGAAGCACCGGGGGAAGTGCCTTCTGGGGGCCCAGAGAGGCCAGAACATCAGCGGATGCAGTGGGTGGATGACCTGGACCTGATGGCTGTGCCCCAGTGTCTGTCCCCAGCTGGGAGAGCAGACCTGGTCACAGACTTCAGTAACCAGTGAACTCCACCACCAACACTGAAGACTGTGGGCACCTGTTCTCCAAACTTTGGAATCACCTGGGAAGCCTTAACACCACTCAGTGCCTAGGCTGCACCCAGATCCAAGTGTGTAGGAATCTTGCGGGAGGTGGGATGGGACCCAGGTGTCAAGTCTCTAAAACTTCCCAGGTGTTTCCAATGAGCATTTATGGCCGAGAAGCCCTGGGGCAGGGGCAAGAACATGGCCAGCTCTGTCTCTAACTAAGCTGGAGATAGGGCCGCCAGCATGCAAGGCACAGATTATGGTGAGCAGCCAGAGAGATGAACAGTACAGTCATGTACATCGTGGTACCACAGCGAATGCCAGTTCTTTCTCTCTTCTCAGTAACACCAACGGGATGCTTGGTGGATGCTCAGGAGAAAGCCTGGGGCGGGGGAGGTCCAGGTGTCCCTGATACAAAACCCCACCCCCAACCCATCTGAGGCTGCGCATCCCCTCCCCTCCCCTCCTCATTTCTGGGCTGAGCAGAGCTTGGAGAAGGACCTGCTGTTCCAGAGGCAGTACGGGTCTTGCTCAGACCTGGCTCAGGTAAGGTAGACGCGGTTGATGCCTTCTTCATCTCTTTCTCCCCTCGCGGTCTTCAGGCACCAAGAGCTACCGGGAGCATGGCCACCGGATGCTGCTCATCTGGCTGCATGGCGTGGTCACAGCTGGTGATAACCCCAGCAAAGAGCTCTTCGAGGGCCTCGTGGCCATTGGCAGGAGGGACCTGGCTGGTAAGGGCGTCCCCTGCCCTGCTCAGAGCAGCGTGGGCCCCAGGGGTCAGAGCTGCCAGGCCCCGCTGAATGTGGCAAGGCCCTCCAAGGGCTGCTCAGACCTCAGTGCCATGGTGCTGGCTCCGAACCTTCCGGGTTGCTGGTCTTAGCCCTGCCTCCTTCCGAAACTCAGGCAGAGCCTTGGGCCACTCACAGTGCCTCCTGGCCCGAGCCTCCCCATCTGTGCAATGAGGGTGGCCCAGATGATCCCTATGACCGTCACAGCCCCAAAGCCATTGAAGTAACAGCCTCTTCCTATCGGCTCTCTATAGCAGTTTGACTTTTTCCCCCCTTCCATTTTGGAATAAGGCGGAAATAGCCTAACGGGTTGTTTTTCGCAAACGTTAAGGCTTACGGGCCAGAACCGGCTTAATGTGAGTTGAACCAGTCAGATCTGGTCAAATAAAATTTCTGAGGCCATCACTATCTATTTGAGTCTGTCGATCCCAAAAGCTTTTTTTTTGGGGATTTGGAGGTTTGGAATTCAGAGCACCACCTGGAACCATCAGGCAAGCGGAGTAACAGGTTCTTACTGACTCCTCATTAAAAACGAAATCAGCCCATGATGAAAAATGCTTAAACTCTGTAATGTTCATCGGCATGGTGCGTTATGGGGCAACCACAGGATGGGGTACTAGGCAGTCACCCGTAGTAATGAAGGTACATCAGTCATTTGGCAACAAGGATGAGTGTCGATAGCATGTTATTGAGGACCAAAGTGAAGGTCCCCTGTGTGGTGGTGGGTCTCCCACAGCTGCCGCACGCAAGGTGGGAAAACAGTCCTTTCAGAGGGAAAGAATTAGGGATGACTTTGTTCTTTTTCTAAAATGTTCTTAAATATTGCTGCATCTTTTTTTTTTTTAAACACAAACCCTGGCAGGCAATTAAAACAATAGACCAGCCCTGTGAGGCAAAGCTTAGGCAACATGAGGCAATAGGATTCTTGTCTTTTGCAGAGAGCATCAGGAAGAAAGCAAACGATGACCTGAGTGCCCCAAGGAGGTGCACAGCCATGTAACTAGAGGGGCTGGACCTGCAGGAGCATGGGACCTGAAAGCAGGGGCCACTGAAAAGAGGATCACCATGTAAGGGCTTTAAAAAAAAAATCACTGTCAACAGACCTCCAGCTGCTTCCACTGGAACCCACAGTCATGCAGGACCAGCAGGCAGATGTTTGCTATCTTTGTCACAAGGATTGGTTCGGGGGCCTCTCTCAGGTTTTGCAGATAATCCCTTCCCACAACTCTCAGCTCACTTTAATCTCCAGCATCTCATCAGAGCCCCACAGCAGTCCCCTGAGGTCAAGGGGTGTCTTTTCAGAGAGGACACTGGGGCTCAGGTGAGTGGGGTAAACAGCTAATCAGGTGTTGAGGTCAAGGGCCAAACCCAGTATTCCTGTCTCCCCGACCCAGCGAAGGGCTCCATCCGTTACTTACAAAGGGATCACCCTAAATTCAATCCCTGGCTTTTACAAATGCCATGCTTACTTCACAGCTGTTTCTACTCCCAAGCTTATTTATATACTTTGACAATTATAGGAGGCACGCACTCTTATTTCCCCCTCTTGTTTTATAATTTTTTTAAAGTTGTAAACTTTTAATTTTGAAATCATCTCAGACTTACAAAAGAAGTTGCAGAAATAATACCAAGAATTTCCAAATACACTTCACTCAGCTTCCCCCAATATTAGCATCTTATATAAACAGGAAATTAACACTGATATGATACTATTCTTCTTTACATCTTATTCAAATTTTGCCAGTTGAGCCTTTGCTGTCCTTTTTCTGGACCAAGATCCGGTCTGGGATCACACGTTGCATTTGGTTGTCACTCTCCCTATTTTGGGTCCTGTGCAAAGGGTCACTTCCCTGGAGTAGCCCTGGCTTGATTGGGGTGGGAATGTTCCAGATCTGTGCTATCCAAACGGCTGCCACCAGCCACCTGCGGCTCCCAGGCACTTGAAACGTGAGGTGTCCAGTGGGATGAACAACTGGTATTTTATACCACGTGGGACGTAGATCACGTGGATGGATGAGTTGTATTTTTTTGAGAGAGAAAAGCAAGTTCTTAAATAAAGTTGAAATGTTGAAATATATCTCGCAAATTCAATCCTCACTTTTGTTTGGAAGATTAGTGGCAAAATTTGAAACAAGCTGTTGTGGATTGTTTTTTTAAACAGAATTTACAAGATTGATTTACAAGGTTTCCATGAATGAATTCTTGTTGCCTGTTTGATCAACCTGTAACAACTTTTTAAAACTTTTCAATGTTTCTTAAAAACTTTAAAAAATATTTAGATCAGTAATTTTTTATTGAAGTATAGTTGACTTACCATACTGTGTTCATTTTAGGTGTATAGCATAGTGACTTTTTTTTCTGATTATATTCCATTATAGATCATTACTAGATACTGAATACAATTCCTTGTGCTTTAGTATATCATTGTTGCTTATCTATTTTATGTATAATAATTTATATCTGTTAATCCCATACCCCTAATTTGTCCCTCCCACCTCTCCCTCTCCCCTTTGGTAACTGAACGTTTATTTTCTATGTCTGTGAATCTGTTTCTGTTTTGTATATAGATTCATTTATATTTTTTAGATTC